AGGAACAACATCTGAGATCTCTGTCCAGAAGAGTGCAGTGCTAGGAACAGCTAAGATACTGCACAGGACCCTCAAGCTCCTAGGCCTCTAGTAGAGGACCTGAGCTTGAAGGAAGGAATACAAGACCGCCCCAAGGTGAGGGGCGAGTGGGGAATTTTATAAGTATATATATATATATATAAAATGATTTCCGGTGCTTGTTGACAGGGAGCACTTTCATGTACGTTTGACCTGAAGTGTAAGGACAAAAGTAGCCTACACTGATTATTAACTAAGGTAAGATCACTTTGGAATGTTCACAAAATTGCGTGTGGATATTGGAAGATAATGTGAAAGTGTCCTTGAAAGTAAAATGGTCAGAAAATATATATTTGTCTTCCCACAATCAGGGTAGGAATTAAAATTTTAAAAAAGGAATTAAAACTGGTTCTTTCATCCTGGATCCACTCCACAATGTTATTTATGCTCTAAATTACCTGGGATAGCAACATTTCAGCTTGTTAGTGAGCAGTTAACATCAATAGTCAATACAGGGGAATGCAGATGGAAAGACTAAAATCTCCTAAGGCATTATTAGGTAGCATAACCTCAATGCTTCCTTGTACATGATGGAGCCCCTTCCAGTGGGCTCTTGGAGGTGAGGCTATATAATTAATCACCCAGTGGTGCTGAAGCTGAGTGACCATTTAGCACACAAACCACATTGATCCTAGGGCTGTGACTGACTGCTGTGCTTGAATAAGTCATCACTATCATCAATACCACAACACTGCTCCAGGTTATGTTCGGTAATCACTATCAACAACATCAGCTGTGGACAGCAGCGGCTATTGTACAGTAGCTTGGGCTCCATAGGGCTGTATTTCATAAGTTGTGAACCACAGTAGCAAAGAAAAGACAAGAAGATCACTTCATTCATTGTATTCATTTCATTGTCAAAAACAGCCCTTTCATCCTATATAGGAATCCCATATTGGAATGAAGACAGAGATAGCTGAGAGGAAACTAAGTCAGCTGATATTGATGCAAGGGAACAGAGTTGGAGATGAAGAACGATTGGGCACAAGGAAATAAAAGAGAGCTACAAAGCCCAGAAGGAGGTGCAGTGTCAGTGTTAATTGGAGGCAAAGGAGGCAGATAGAGATTAAAGGGCAAACGAGGAAGAACATGAAGGATCAGGAGAATGAGAAAAAAAACTGACATGCAGGAGCAAGCAGGATGTTAATGTGTGCATATGCATACAGTATGTGGCTGTGAAAAAGAAGTGGGAGATGTAGTGCAAATGAGAGGGTGAGTGGCATAACAGTTGGGGGGAGGCTGCACAGAGGATTTGTGCAGAGAGACAGAGGGAGATGCACGAACCGTAAAACCACCAGTACTAACCCACACACCAGGACCAAACATTTGAAGCAAACTGTGATTTATTGCTAGATGGAAGAAGCACTGGGATTTAATCATAAATAACCTGAGAAAGGGGAGTAATCTCAGCCACTGGTAACATTTGGGACAGAGAGAGACTGAAGAGCGGAGGTGGAAACAAAGGGAAGAGTGGAAAGAGAAGAGGAGTGACCTGATTAATGAGAAGAAAACCACAAGACTGAACCAGGTAAGAAAAGAAGAGAGGCATGATGAGGACAAATGAGAAAATGAGGAAATTGTGTGTGTAAAAACATTGTGAGAAGTGTTTATAGGATGAAAATATGGAATGTAAAGATCAATGTTTCTTGGGGTGTGCAGTACTGAAGAACAAGGGTGAAGGAAAAGAAAGCGATGTATTATAGACCAACACGTTATTTTGTACTTAGCAACACATGGCTCAAGGGAAGCAGGTGATGGATAGCGAATGAGAGAATGAACATGCATAAACTGGCACAAACAATCAGCTGAGACTTTACGCTCAGTCACAAAGTGGTAAACAAAAAAAATTCATTTAAAAAAAAGCACTGGGTGCATTAATAAATTATAACTGAACAAATAGGACCTAATAGCAAGTATCAGTTCTTCAACATTCAGTTTGGCTGCCAGATAAGCCAATCAGTTGTGTTCATGTACATCATCATTTATAATGGCAGTTTTGTATAATTAATGCTTAGAATATTTAATGATAGTTCTAATAACATCTCAATATAATGTTTGCAAAGATTGCTTTGGGAATAAGCTGGAAGCACCAGCATGTGTGATACAGTAGATTCTGCCTATTTGGACGAAAGTAAAAGGCAGTGAGATTTATCTGCTAGAAGAGAAGAGAGGGAAATGGTGGTGAGTAACAGCTAGATGAAGAGGAATCCCGAGACTGGATTATTTATTAGTGAGATTTTGTGAATAAACCATGAAGGTAGTGGCCAAATAAGCAGCATAAATCACCAGAGTGTAACACACATGTGTGCAGGAAACACATAAAACGTAAATATGTAGGTGCACTCATGTAGCTTTATCTACAGGGCACATAAGCAGAATCATGGAAGCAGAGATCAATACAAGTTCCCAGTGCAGGGAGAATGCACAGCTTTATAACATGACAGGCTGCTGTGCTGCAGGTTTTCCCCAGGGTTTGTGATCACGGTCAATGAGGTGCTGCCACCCAATGGTGAAACTATGGTATCCCAAAAATGCTAATGCAGGAAAATTATTTGAAGACAGCGGTTCACGTTCTGGCCTTTGTCACATCTCCTTGAGCAGAGTTGCTGATCTCTGCCCGCTGATCCACAATGGCTGTCCAGTTACACGTTCTGCTGGTCTTCTGTCTGATGGTCACACCAAGGTGAGAAACTTCAGGTCAAACAACACATGGATACGTTTAAGGAAACATGCTGATGTTGATATTTAATGTTGATTAAAAATGCACTTCCTCACCTGCATATTATGGCACATTTTCCACCTCCAGCCTCATTTCTTTTTTATCCCTCTGTATAATATCAGTGCATGCACGTTTCCTAACCACCACTGGGGTGAATGGAATGACTCTCAGCTTCAGCCAACAATTCAAAAGTTGATGAAAGGATACAACCGCTATCTCAGACCTAATTTCAATGGTAGGAAGTAGCTTGAGAAGTATTTTTCCGGCTGAGTTTGAGTTTTTTGTCTTCTGTGTCCCCTGTATGATAGCTGAGTCATTTCCAAAGTGTCCTGTGCTTCTATCTTTGATAGAAGGTCCTGTCGAAATTGGAATGAGCCTTGATATTGCCAGCATTGATGCCATCTCTGAAATCAACATGGTATACAGCTCTTCCTGGCTTTTTTGTCAGTGTGTAATTTTTTTTTAATCGGGCAAATAAGTGTGTAACTGAAGAGCTGAACAAATAAAAGCTCCATTATCTTTATATTATCTTTTTAGGACTACACTGCCACTATCTTCCTCCGTCAGCGCTGGCGTGATTCCAGGCTGGTGTTCCCAGGAAATGAGAGCGTCAGTGTGGACGGACGCCTTGTGTCACTGCTCTGGATCCCTGACACTTTCATCCCAGACTCCAAGCGTTCTTTCCTGCATGATGTCACAGTGGAAAACCGCCTGATACGCATTTTCAGCAATGGAACCGTTCTTTACGCTCTTCGGTACTTTAACACTTTTTGAAAAGTTTAGGCAGCAAAGTTTTGACATTTAGTGACATTTGATGCTTCTGCACAAGTCGCAAAACCAGCTTTTCACATGCTGCTCGGCTTGGACCACAACCTGAAAATACAAAATGAATGGGTGCCAGTTGCAGAAAAATGTTATATGAAGAAAACAGAAAAAAAGAAAGGGAAATTGTCCACATAAAAATATATGTTTTTCATTTTGTTTTTGTATTTTTTTGTTTCATGCTGTTTGTGATTGTTGTGGTAACTGACCATGAATTGGCCTGGGGTTCTACTAAAAACAAGCATAAAACACTTACATATCATCAGCCAGTTATGTAACTTAAGGGAATGACATTGAATTCTTGTATTTCTCGTGCTCTTGAAACAGTTCATATGTTCTTAGTGAAGATCTGCGGAGTCGTCCCCTATGGCCACAGTAAAAATGTGTCCTTGCATCTGATCTGTCATCTCAAACTGAAGTTTATTATGATTAGACAGCTGTATTGAGAACAGATAGAGCAACACTGTCAGGTTATTTAGGATATTTTTCATTCCTCTGGAGTGCAGGAACACATTTTGATTCATGACTGTATGATTTAATGTTGGTGACTGAACAATCTATAATGTAGGAACAATACAAAAACAATACATTAGGCCACTGTGTTGCCCTTCGCAATATTTCTAGCATTATCAGAAGTAAAATAAGAAATTCCTATATTTGAATTTCAACAAGACAGCAACAATTACTTAAAGCATCAAAAACAGGAAGGTCTAATGTTGATACTTCAGATAAGAAACTTTTGCTCTTTTGATTGTTTTTTGTGCCGACTTGCCCTGTCCTACATCAAATGAATTTTTCTGGGGGTGTTTTTGAAGGTTGCTAATGATCTTGCTATCAATACACAACAGCATCACAGCTACCATTGCGTGCAACATGGACCTGACCAAGTACCCCATGGACAGACAGGTGTGCACCCTGCAGCTGGAGAGCTGTGAGTAATACCTGTGAGCTTGCTCCATCAACCCTCCATCAAGTGTATAGGTGGGCATAAATCATCATCATCATCCCATCAGCATCATTACCATTTTCATATTATCACAGTATCAAATTAAACAGATAGGGTTATGTTTAGCAGGTTCAATCAGAACCTAATTAGCCTCCTGGCATATGTATCTCTCTGTTTGTATGTGTGTATGGTCAGGGGGCTACAACCTTCAGGACGTGGTGTTCTACTGGACCAGAGGGAATGACTCAGTGAGGGGTCTGGACACACTGCGGCTGGCTCAGTACAGTGTAGAGAGCTACTATACATCAGTGTCAGAGGCTGTGTATGAAACAGGTACTATGTTTTTCATTCCCAAAGTTCTCCTTACAGTACATGTGGAATTATATAAAGGAAATGCCCCATAGAGCACAAATGGAACACATTATCTTCAAAATCTATTCTTTTTAAAAAGTGTTTTTGTGTCTTTTCAAAGGTCAGTACCCGAAGCTGGTGCTGCATTTCGCACTGCGCAGAAATGTGTTGTTCTTTATCCTGGAGACGTATGTTCCCTCAGTTCTGCTGGTGGTTCTCTCCTGGGTCTCTTTCTGGATCAGCCAGTCCTCTGTACCAGCTAGGACCTGTATTGGTCAGTACCATCTCTTATGCTCTTATGCACTGAATTACATACAAATGTACAAGTGAGTGTATATCTAACTAATAATATCTTACTTAAGCAAGGACTTGACATACAGTATGTTGTGTATTTCTGGTCAGCCAGCACTTCTGGTTAAGTGATGCAGTCTACTATCCCGACTTTACCAAAAACATACATGTCAATACACCATTCCGACTGCATCGATTGTTTACTTAGACCACTGGCCAGTGAGAAATTGGAGATTAGCTCAGAGATCAGCAATAAATAAGATGCTGAGACACAAATATCTATACTTTGATGAATTACCAATTGATTGTGTTCTAGGAGTGACTACAGTTTTGACAATGACCACTCTGATGATGGGTGCCCGCACTTCCCTGCCCAATGCCAACTGCTTCATCAAGGCCATAGATGTTTACCTGGGCATCTGTTTCACCTTCATCTTTGGTGCCCTGCTGGAGTACGCCTGTGCTCATTTTTATACCATGCAGCACCGGACCTTGGAGGATTTACACAGGGTGAGCAACATGTTTTCACCGAGAGATGAGATAAAAGCTAACATTTTTATGTTACAAAATGAAAACACAGTAAGCATCCATCTGTCTATTTCTTAGGATCTTCTCATGGAGCTCAGTGAAACCAACGGAAATGGCTTGATCCCCATTGTCAACTCCACCCGACCAAACCAGTCGGAGATCGGCTCCACTGCAGAACAATCAGTGAGCAATGACAGCCGGAACCATGCTGAAGCAAAAGAGAAGATGACAGGACAGGGATGTGGCCTTTCTTCAGTGAAGGATGCATCACGCAGAGCAGCATCAGTCTTCATTGTGAAAAACCCACATAACATCGATCGCCATGCACGTGCTGTTTTTCCCACAGCATTCCTCTTTGTCAATATCCTTTACTGGCTTTACTATCTCTTTCTCTGAGTGCTGGTTCCAAGTGGCTGCATAGTTCATTTTATCATCCTGAAGCTGCTCTACCTCTTCATTTGAGACCCAATATGAGTCACCATTGCTGGGATTAAAACTGATCACACAACCTTTTGCTAGAGCCTTTTTGTGCCACACATATAAAGATTTCTGTCCTAAACAAGGCTACAAATGAATGAGAAACAGCTGGTTTGGAACAGGAACCAGCCATTCTTCTTTGTATCACACATCTGTATTGAAGGCTTTTTTGCTTTATTACTGCCAACATAGTTACATGTAAAAGTGTTAATACAAAGCCTGCATCAACTACTGACAAATCCATCAAACAAACAAGGATGAGTTAACTATCTATAAACAATAGCCTGCCTGAACCGTAGCAAACTATACCGTGCTGCACGGAACTGCCTTCGTTAAGTGGCCGATGTGCATTTTTTTTGTTTTGGCTTTCATACATTTTTTGTATACACTATATATTTACTTAACAGCATATGATGTGAAATTAAAAGTCAATATCAGAGAATGTGTTTGTGCATTCAATGAGAAGAAATGTATGATAACAAAAGATTATAGAGCAAATGGTCAGGAAATGAGACAAAAGTTTATTATACCCTTATCC